GAACCATGTTTTTTGAGTTTCACGATGGCAGGAACCTTGCGAGGAATGGACGGACAAAAGAAACTCCACACATTTCTATTTAACTCAAATAGAATAAGAGTCACCAGGGCCCTTCTCCAGTGGGGCATCTAATAACTTTCCGTCATGTGTTAAAACTGTTTTTGAAGCATGGGCTTCGGTGGTGATGTCGAGGGCTTTGCAGTCTTAATTTGTACAACACTGGTCTAAAGAAAGGAACAGAGGGAGTGGAATCCTCCCTCTCTGCCAAAACTCCTACTCAACTTAGGCCACTTTCTCCGCCCCTTCCCTGCCAGTTGTAATGATATGGCAAATTTCACTGCAAATCGTAATGGCCCAAATTGTTATTTTATGGCTGTTTTGAGGTGGGAGTAGCATGTAAACCCTAAAAGGAGTTCCCTGTGGATTTTATTCTGCTAGTCATTGCCAACTATAGGAGGGAGTGCTTATCTCAGTTTCAAGCCCATTGAGCCAGCACTGTCCAAAGATATTTTTGCAGTCATGTGGCCAGCATGACCCCATGGAGTGCTGTTCCTTTCCCACCCAAGTGGTTCTTATTTATCGACTCACACGTGCCTGCTTTTGAACTGCTAGACGGGCAGGAGGTGGGGCGAGGACGGGAGCTCACCCTGTCGCGTGGCGCTCGGGTCTTGACCTTAGGCTGCCGGTTTTCCAGCTGACAAACCCAGCGTCTTTTAACAGCCGAGCCACCAAGACCGCCCAAGCGCTAAAAGGGGATAAATCAATTTCAAAACCAAATCAGCCCCTCTTAGCGCTGGGGAAAAATCCCAACCAGTTCTGCCTTCCTTGGTGGCATGCCCCCCCCCCCGGGCAAAATTAAGACCATTGCTTGGCTACCAAAGCTTAACTTGGGTTGATATCCAGATGATGTGTTTAGATCAGTGGTTCTCAACCTGTGGGTCGGGACCCCATTTGGGGTCGATCGACCATTTCACGGGGGTCGCCAAGCAAGGCTGTCCGCCATTTTTTTTGTCCGCCAGTTTTTTTCCCTTTTCCGGCGGGTGCCTTACCTCCCTTGGGCTGGGCCAGCTGGTGGTCGGCCTGCTCCGTCTCTGCCGCTTGCCAGCTACGCCTCGGCCGGCGCAGGGGGCGGAACCACGCATGCGTGGCGCTCCCGGGCAGGGAAAGTCCTCGACTTACGACCGGTTGGGTATCCTCGACTTACGACCGGTTTAGTCCTCGACTTACAACCGGTTGGGGTCGCGGCATTAAAAAGGTTGAGAACCACTGGTTTGGATGTTGATCCTCGTATTCTTTTGTTCCTTTTAAGATGTGCTGGTTGGCTCTGGAATGGGATTCACCTTCGCATATCTCTGCTACAGACAGCATTACCCTCCACTGACGGACCCCAAATGCCACCAGCCACTGCAGCAAGGATCCAAGATATCTTCTCCGGAGAGGCAAAAGCTGACAGTTTCTGGCTTCAACCTAGATGTATGAAGAAGGACTCAGGGGTTTCCGTTCTCTGTATTTGCAGACTCGAGGGGGGGGGGGAAAGAGCTTAAATCATCCATGTTCTGCTTTGCTCAAAGGCCAGATGGGGA